AGAAGAGGTTTTCTGGCTTTGAAATTTGGATCAGGGAAATCAAGGGTTATATGTTCAAAAGAGTTGAAGGTATTAGCTGTTTTCGGAGTAATCAGTAAGTCGGACTGAAAGATTGTTGCTACTCCTCCTCCTCGCCCAGAACTTCTGGGTATGGGAAAATTTAAATAGCTTGAAAGAGTTGCCTCATTTATGCTCACATAATCCTCTTGCTGTAGCCAGGTTTCTGTAAGGCAACATAAGTCAATGTGATTATGGCAAATCAAGTCATTAACTAGCAGACTTTTAGAGGAAAGAGATCTTATGTTATCAGACCACATTTAATCGTTTTAAGTTTTTCCCCAATTTGAGTTATTTTAATTTTAATAGGATTATCATGATTTACTCCTTTAGAAATATTTGCTAATTTATTAGATTTTGGTCCTGGGCAAGACACTGTCTGGATGGAGTAAAGAGTGGGTAACAGTAGAGAAGCTGCAGAGATGTGTGTTAAACTACAACTCTGCTTCCTGGTCTGCAACCTGGGTGGTCAGGGTTTTTGAGGACTAATAAATGTGGCCAGATTTCTAGAAAGAAGAGCTGCACCATCCAAAGTGGGATGGATGCTGTCTCTCCGAATAAGACCAGGCTTTCCCCAAAAGGATTGCCAATTGTTAATGTAGCCCACATTGTTTTCAGGACACCACCTAGACAACCAGCGGTTGAATGACGACATGCGGTTAAACCTGTCATCACTGGTCAGATCAGGGAGGGGACCAGAGAAAATTACTGAGTCCGACATTTTTTTGGCAAACTTACACACCGAAGCAACACTAATCAGTGTCTATTGATTCACGCTTCACTATTGAGACAACTGGTTTTTACGCCCCTCGTAAAAATCCAAGTGTTTCAGTATCCACTTCTGCTTGGGAGTCAGTGCTTTCTGGCCACTTCTGCTGGGCTTGGTTTTCAGCAGCTTGCCATATTGAGTACAGAGTGTTGCCACGTGGGTTATAACCTCATTCACTGAAAACAAAACAAGTGTACTTCATGACATATATTGCCAGTAATTCTCTCAAGACAAAACATACCTGGTAGCTGTAATTGCGATGCTATCTCCTCCCAACTTTTCTCCCTGTTATTTATGTCATGGTAGCTTTGGGAGGCAACATCAAAGAGGTTGGGGTGAGCTTGCCACAGTTCCACAAGCTCCTCCTCAGTCAACTGACTCAATCTCACTTTCACCGCCTCCATGCCTCTGTGTTTGATTCTGTGCCGTGAGAGGAAGCGGAAGAAGAATCCTTGTTTGTGCACGTGCACTGCACGATTTTGCACAACGGTCGGGAGTGTCCAACCTCACGATTCCTGATCGAGAGGTGGTCGTGAGAGGCTGATCGCCCCTCGTAACCCCATGTACACTACACGACTCACAATGCACAATCAGGCTGAAAGTCGTCCCGATTGAAAAATTCTGGCACGACTGGAAAGTCGGCCAGAAAATCGTACAGTGTATGCCGGGCTTAATTATAGGGCTATTGTTAATTCTCTTGCTAATGATGAACTGGTCGTTTCCTTTTTGAATCTCCCTGTTTACACCACTGATAAGGAGATCCTGGATAAGCTGGGGGGGATGGGGGGTGTCCACAACCTTTGAGATCAGGACCGCCAGTTTGGCTGGGGACATCCGTTGTGGATGGGACTCCTTCAGCTGAAGGAGCTAAATTTTTCAGGGTAATTCATGAAAGGCAAACCAAGGTCTGCAGCCGGGGCACATCCTCCGTGAATGCCCTGAATTTTGTGGTAAAAAGTGTGGCGGGATGAGAGCGAAGTGCGCTCTCTGCAGCGGCCCAGTCTCTGATTGTAATTTCCTTAGTGGCTCTGTAGGCCTGGAGCGCTCTGCTAGTGAAGAACTTAGCAGTGAGAGCGAGCCTGAGCTGGTCCATAGTGGAGAGCTTGAGCAGGGGGAGAACTTGGCTGTCTGGGTCTGTTGATGACCGCCTCCAAACTGCGTCTGGGACCTGTAAAATGTGAAGATTCCATTGTAGCCTGGGGCTATGAAATTTCACCCTACCCCATTCAAGGCCGGCCTTGCTACTGTGCTATGCATGCTTGTGAATATGAGGTGGTTAGCCAGGAGTAGGATGTCTTTTCCTCAGGATTGTTGCACCCTCAACATCAGCAGTGACCACCTTCTGTGCCAACCCTGTTCACGGACGACCAAAAAACGGGTATTAAGAAACTGTCTCTTGACCCAGATGACTTGGTCAATTATAGACCTATATCCTATCTTCCATTCTTAACTAAAATTCTTGAGAAAGTAGTTGCCAAACTAGTGTGCGATCCCTTACACCACAATAACCGTTTTTATGTTGCAAAAAAAGTTAACCTTTACAATTTCTAATAACAACCGGATTCTTTAGCAGTAAAGGGATTTTTTTACGCTTGGCAGAGGGTGATCAGCCGCATAATTTTTTAAGTAGCAAGGACAGGAAGAGACATACTACTGAGAGCGAACCATCAGAGTGGAGTGTGAAGTGCAGACTGTGAGCTACCCACGCAAACACACATTTCTTTACAAGCACAGCTAGAAGAGCAGAGTTTGACATAGGTAAGCATGCAGTACCAGTTGAAGCTTGATTATATTCCCTGCCCCTGCTGCCATATCCATCTGTGGTCATGCAGAATGTGCACCTCTGCTTGCCAGGTGGGTAGTGTAACCAAACAAGACGCAGCAGCACGGCTGATACCGCTTAGCTGATTACAGCACGATGATGCAGTGTAAACCCTTAATCAACCACCTGCTATTTTTTTATTTAGTCTTGTCTTGTTTCATTGGTGAAAACTCCAACCTATGACTAGTCATGTCACAGCTATCAACAGCACGACCCATCTCTCCCCCTTGATGTCATGGTCTTTTTTATGGTTACTTAGTTCACCATCAACAGATTTGAATTTAATTTTACTCATGCTCAAGAGTCAGCATTAGGTTATCATTTTCCGGGTCAAGAACAATGTTTTATGTCATGAGGCAATATTCAATCAATCATATAGCATAATGTCACAGGCATGCACCCAGCCCGAGCCGATCTGGTATCTACACTGGTCTACTTTTAGGGCTATTCTTAAGACGTTTCTTTTTGATGCAGCTTATAGTTAGAGTAGCTTAGGTTATCCTGAGCTATCCCTATAGTTATGCTGCTATAGGCTTAGACTGCTGGAGGACAAAGAGATCCCTATTAATCATTCTCCTTCGTTCTTTTTCTTCAATTCTGAAGTATTTGTTAGTTCTCTCTGGTCAAAATCCATCAATGAGATCGCACCAAACAGGAAGTTAATTGCATAAAGGATCCGGTAGATTTCCAAATAAAACACATCCGATTTTAACCCATGATCCTTTTTTTAACTAGTTTAATTAGTTTCTCCCGTATGCCACGACGTAATGCGTTGATCTGAAAATCAACCTCAGACGCAACGCACGCAGTGGCGAGGGTTTGATCCATCAGATGGAGTTAAATCACAAAGGATTCAATGTTGAATCGGGGCGGCAGCTAAATGCTAGGCGATGGGTAGCAGCCAAAACGTTGCAATTTCACATAATCCTGACGAGATCCGAAAAACGTAGCAAAAACTAGCAAGCGGGTGATAATGTATGTTCACTAAGTAAATATTATGTAAATAAACCCTACACTTCTCGCTATAAATGTAATCAAAAACCCATTTAAATGCAGAAACTGATTGAAATTATTGATTTTCCCACTAAAAGTTAGAGAAATCTCAGCCATGTTATACCAAAATGTTACAGTTTCACATTATCTTGAAAAATCTTTGCAAGAAACGAACAAGCAAGTGAATATGTACATTTCCTGAGTAAATATTCTGGTAACAAACTATACATTTCTCACTAGAAATGTAATCAAAACTCATTTTAATGCAAAAACAAACTCAAGTCATTAATCTTTCCACAAAAAAATGAGCGAATGTCGGCCATATATTTATTTTTTTTCTTCTCCCAGCTGGAATCTTGAAAGTCACGTGACTAGGACGTAAAACAATAGAAAGCGTATAGGTAGAAGAAACGTAACAGTACCACAAAAAAATGGCCATTAATGTACCTCCACTACGTTTTGCAGTGTGGACCAACGTAGTGGGGGTACATTTTCCCATGAGACTGGGTTGCTTTTAACCACTCTGACTGTATTGTCTCTGTATAGTGCCTTAAGATTACATGTTTTGTCACTTGGTGCTATGTCAGGTCTAAGCACCTAAAACATCATACAGGGAAAGAAAGAAAGCACAGAGACAATTAATTTAGTTACTCGCGAGGAGAATAGGAAGGAGACTGCAGACTTTACAAATCTCCAACCCATTCTGCAGTCTTCAGCTTTCTCCTCGTTATTTATTGAAGAAAATGGGATGTCCCTAATTACACCAGCTGAGGTTTAACTCAGGGAAACAAAAGGATCTTACTTTATACCTGAGCACATATGTTAAAACAAAGCATGCGGTTGTTTTACAATTGAATTGTTCCAAGAACACATGTTTACAAGAAACATATGATAGAGGCTGTTGAGGCCTCTTTTACAACCCAGCATGTGATAGAGGATGTTCAGGCCTCTTTCACAACCCGTCCGTTGCATGACCTTTATCTGGAACAATCTTAAGCAAGAGTTAATAAAAGATGAATCACACATTATACATCATAATAGTTATTTAGAAAACAACCCATGAAACACAAACGGAGTATAAATAAAATATTTCTAACATGCTATATAAATGAACTGAATTTATTTTAACTCAAATAGTGCCAATAGCACAATCACTTTTGCTAGATCATCTACATTATAATTCATCAAACCAGCATGCCAGAAAGAAGAAAAGGAGAGCTATTTTTTCAAAAACAATCAAGATGAAGCAGATAGGGAGGAGTGATGGGAGGAGGGTAAAACAGACGGGGGCAGGGTCACTGTGGTGCCAGGTAAGCTGCCTTCCCAGACAGAGTGACTGTCTTATTCTCGTACCTCTTTTTCCTTATCCATTTCTTCAGGATCACAGTGTCTGTGGGGAAGGACCTGGACTGCAAATAGTCCCAAAATATATTTCAAACCATAACTAATAAGACCGTTAAGTGGCAGGACAGAAAGAGGAATACACGGATGTAATCACGCAGCATCTTCAGTCGGCAATAAGGTTGGCAACACGTTTTTTTCCCCATGTGAGTTTTGTCTTTAACGCTGTAACACACAAAAGAGTGGGCCTGTTTTCCAGGTGTATTAGAAAGGCTTTAATATAAAAAAAATATTTAACCAAACCTTTATGAAATAGAAAAAAAGGGGAGCTGACTGTGATCGTTTACTGGTATTTAACATGAATTTACATAATTAAGGCACATTACTAATCTTATCTTACCTTACCTTAAATAGCAATGAATATATATATTTTTAATACAGGGACAAAAATCACAGATACTCTATGTTTAAAATTCAACAATTATCCCAAAATTGGTAACTGTGAAACATAACTTTATGTGAAATATATAAAAGATACCAAACAATAGAGAGAATGAAGTTAGTACAACATCAGTCAAGCAGCTTCTTCTCCTTTATATTAATTATAACACAATAAATAACATAAACCAAACTATGGAGCAATCTTTCCCAACAACAGTTATAAATGTTATGAAGTTAGACATATCAGCCGTAATTGTAAAAAACATGCAAAAAACATAAAGTAAGATTACGCATAAAACTCTGTAAAAAATATATAAATTTTTTCTAAAACATACTTTAAAAAAATAGATGTAAAGACAGAGCAGATTCTACTGCATACCAAAGTTACAAATGGCCAGAGAAAAAGGAAACGCGCAGTCATTTCATGGTTTCTATATTAACCGCCAACTGTCCAGAGCAGCATAACATAACTTATATCCTACCTGTAGATATCAGGAGAAAATAACTTTTTAACTTCAAACAATAATTTAAAAAATTGTTTCCCAACAACAGTTATAAATTTTATGAAGTTAAACATAGCCATAATTGTAAAAAACATGCAAAAAACATGAAGTAAGATTACGCATAAAACTCTGTAAAAAATATATAAATTTTTTCTAAAACATACTTAAAAAAAATAGATGTAAAGACAGAGCAGATTCTACTGAATACCAAAGTTACAAATGGCCAGAGAAAAAGGAAACGCGCAGTCATTTCATGGTTTCTATATTAACCGCCAACTGTCCAGAGCAGCATAACATAACTTATATCCTACCTGTAGATATCAGGAGAAAATAACTTTTTAACTTCAAACAATAATTTAAAAAATTGTTTCCCAACAACAGTTATAAATTTTATGAAGTTAAACATAGCCATAATTGTAAAAAACATGCAAAAAACATGAAGTAAGATTACGCATAAAACTCTGTAAAAAATATATAAATTTTTTCTAAAACATACTTTAAAAAAATAGATGTAAAGACAGAGCAGATTCTACTGCATACCAAAGTTACAAATGGCCAGAGAAAAAGGAAACGCGCAGTCATTTCATGGTTTCTATATTAACCGCCGACTGTCAAGAGCAGCATAACATAACTTATATCCTACCTGTAGATATCAGGAGAAAATAACTTTTTAACTTCAAACAATAATTTAAAAAATTGTTGATCCAATCAATTTATCATTATTTTATTATGTTATTATTATGTTATTAGAGCTTTATCAGTTATTATGTGAAATAAACTGATAAAGCTCTGATGACCTGCTATTAGAATAACAAACAATGTGAAGAGGTGTAAAGAAAAATGATTATTTTTTAGACTTTATTACAGTTAATCTTATGGCATGTGTAAACACTCTCACTTGAACATATTTCTTAATTTTGAACAAGGCTGTGTTAATGATTTAAAACTACTAATGGGTAAGTATTCAAAGCACAGGAGGCCTTAAAATGAGTATCTCCTGGGGGGTGAATAACAGTTAAGCCTGCAGGAGAGATTTCTGCTTGGTTTACAGAAGGTCAAAAGTCTTCCAGAATAAACAACCAGGGATGGTGAGGCCCCCCGCATTCCACAAGCTGTCTGTGAGAGCTTATCTTGTGTTTTATGACTTTAGGAATTCTAGATGCCAGGACAAGCTTTCCGCCTTTTCTGGTTAAAACAAAGAAGCAAATGACCCCAGATGTTTGCAGTAAATAAGGGGAAGCCCTAGCAGTGTCAGAGATGGCGTTTGGTTGGAGGACCGAGGGCCAGCCCCTTTTTGAATGGATTAGATACAAGAGGATAAAGCTTTCTAAATAGAAGAAAAAGATCAGATTTTGCTCTTGCAAACTCTCCAAAGATGTCTTGTTCGTCTTTGCTTTCTTTCCTCCTATGTCAGGTAATGGAATGTATGTCTCTGTTGTTCTGCAGTTTCTGGTGTAGGTTTGTGCATTGTCTTATTTCTAAAGTGTATGCATTGTCTTATATTGGATTAAACTCTGTAATTCTGTGACGTCAACACGCAATGTTGGTTTTATTACCAAACGCAGCTCGCCGAGTGGACCTGGGGAAGGGAAGAATCAGAAGCCAATCTTTTTCCAAAGTTAACTATGTTAGAATATTTTCTTCCTTTACAGTGACTAAGAAAGTAATTACCAATAAATAACAGTGCATATTGTACAGTGAATACTAAATGATCTAAACCTTATTTCTGACCCTTAAATAAGTGATCATTAGTGATCTGACTGTAGGATCGGGTCTTTTCCTCCAGACAGCTTGAAAGGTTTTAGTGAAAGGGTAAGGTGAGGGACACAAGTATAGAGCATAATTACAGCCATATAAAATATCTTCAATAAAGCCAGTTAGGAATTAGAGGCAGATATTTTATCAGTGTTTCGTTGTACCTTACACTTGATACCTTTTCAGTTTTATTGCTTATCATTAACTCTTATCCTTATAGCTTTGTTCTTTGTATCAGTTTAAAATCTCCCATTAACCCTTTATAGGGCTCTCAGTGAAACACTAAAAATCTAAATTTCAAGCCAGTGGTGTTATTGGAATCCAGGACAACCCCTTACTACCTTTATAACATTCAAAAAATCTGGATATTTTGATGGCAAAAATTAATAACAAGTCAATATAACAACAATAACACTCCAACTTTCCCGAATATATTAAGAAAAGTAACAAAAGTAAAGATGAAAAACACACGGAGTGAAAAAAACGCATTTTATTTGCTACAACATAACCTTAGATGCATTAATGCTGATCCTGGCACGTAATTTTTTTAGTTTATAAACCTAAATATAATTGTTAACTTTTTAACTTTTCAATTAGCTTTTACCTTTTTTTCTTGACTTGTTAATTTTTTTTAAAGCTTAATTTACACTAATTTAATTATATATCATTCAAGAGCTCATTTATTTGATCAAATGCCAAAATAAGATGTACAGCCATGGAGCAGTATCTTTGCTGAATCACTGGATATAGACCTCACCGAAGGACAGAGGGGGACTCCATTTGTAAGGGGTATGCAAGAGATCAAAAACGGTAACTTTTCCTAAAAGGGTTAAGCAGGATATGTGGAAAAGATTCATATAGGGATTTAGTGTATCCAAATTTTATATATCTTTTTCATTTTGTTAGTGAAAACAAGACAAGGAAGATCTAGATTAATTTAAAAAAGCAGAATTGGTTGCAGTCTGGGTTCTCTGTTGAGGTTACCAAGGAGTCAATTTTTTGTCCCATTGAAGTCTTCCATTATTAAGTTACTTTTGGATCATCTTTCTGGCTATCTTTATCTTTGCCGGTATATATTGCATTATTTTCATAATGTTCAGTACATTGAGTGGAGAGAGGATGTATTTGTTGCTTATTGTGCTACATATAAGATTTATTGCTGTCAGCTTGTTGGGTGCTAATTTTGTTCCCAATACTGACACACCTTCAGGAAGTATTTCATGGAAGTATAATTTAAATAAAGCCTTGAGTTTTACTCCTAACTTTTGCAGCAGTTTAAGAACCAATAGAGTCAAGAAAAACAGGTAATAACCCATCATAAAACATAATTCACATCTTAAAAGGCATTTCTTTTATGATGTACTGTATTTGTCGTAACCCTGTTACTAATGGGTGTGAAAAACATGTAAGTAAAACATATTTCTGAAAAAAAAAAATGCTTTGTTATTAAAGTAAGGATGTTAAATGTTACTCCAATTCTAATTTCATTTCACAAAATTCTTTACTTTTATTCATTTTAGTAACTTTTTGAATCTATCTCACTCAAGTTTTAGTTTTTGGTTCCTTTATTTGACTAATTTTAAAATTTATTCTTTGGTATTTATCCAAGTGCAGCATGCATATACATATTTAATCAATCAGAAAGGCAAAACTTTAAAGTCTTGTCATCTTAGAATGTCATTTGGGATTATTTTAATAAGTATGGATATGGTAGCAGGGTTGAATCTAGAGTGACAGCATTGCACAAAGATTTCAATGTAATGAATTTTTAGGTATTGGATTTTTTTTCCCCCCTCAAAGATTAACAGGTTGGCTTATATAAAACACAGAACATCTGAAAAGGCGCACGTTTCAGATCTAGTTAAATACTAGAGTAGTGCATTTTAAAAATGGTCAAAATGTTGCTACACAACTGCCAAAGAATGAATTGCTATTGCAATAACAAACACAAACTGAGAACTGCAGAAACTGAGGAGGTAAACATGAGAATAATTAACAATAAATAACACTGCACATTTTACATTGAAGGATCTAAACGTTATTTCTGACTTTTAAATAAGTGATCATTAGTGATCTGATTGTACGATCGGGTCTTTTCCTCTAGACAGATTAAAGGACTTTAGTGACAGGGTTGCTCATAAGTTAAGGGACTCAAGTTTAGAGCATAATTACTACCATATAAGATATTTTCAATAAAGCCAGTTAGGACTTAGTAGCAGATATATTGTACCTTGTACTTTATAGCTTTCAAGTTGGATTGATTATCATTACCTCTTATCTTTATAGCTTTTTTCTTTCTGTCAGTTTAAAATCTCTCATTAAGGCCACAAAGTTTTCCTGGTAACATAATACCGTAAACAATGGGGCTCATTGTAGGCTATGATGTAGAGAATTGATTTGACGATCATGATCACAGAGGTAAATTTTTTCTGCTATTGAAGTCCTTGAGTTGGTTGATGAGGGATTGCCCTCTAGTCAATGACTTGATTCTATCAACTGATTTTCCTTAGATAGAAAACTTCAGAATCAATTTGACTATATGATCTAATGAACTGTAAAGTACCTTGAGATGACATGTGTTGGGAATTGGCGTTATATAAAAAAATTTAATTAAATTGAATTAATAAGTTTCTTTTGAATCATCTTTCTAGCTATCTTTATCTTTGCTGGTATACACTGCATTTTGTTTTTTACTGCTTAGTAAAGTGAATGTAATAAGGTTGTATTTGTTGCTTATTCTTAGTCAATTTATGTAGCCCAGCATTTGATCTTATATAGGCTATAGTATAACCAATACGCACACATTAAGTTTGGTTTTGCTATCGTTATGGGGACTTTGCATTGACTTTATTCATTTCTATGGCATTACCCAGACCTTGAAATAGCAGATAATGCTAATAATCAGCCCTTAAATTCTTTCTTAGACCTGGGAGAAAGTTAGCACAGACAAGTGTTGGACAAATTACTTAAAAAATTAACTAGTTGTTAATACTGGTTACTTCTCTAAAAAAGTAACTGAAAAGTTACTGAATCCAAAACAGTAGCTAAGTTACTAACTCAGTGAAAGTAACTAATTAAAGTATGAAGTTACATTTTATGTTGTAAAATATCGAAGAAAATTTTCTTTTCTATTGGAATTTTAAATAAAACTATAGGTTCAATTATGGAATATAAGGTGTCTGTTATTAATAAAATAAATATTTAAAGGTCTACACATCTACAGCATTTAAAATTAAATCTTCAGTATTTTGTAGGTTTCTTGTTTATAATAATAATAATAAAAAAAAGATGTTTTAGAACTGAATTGTTTTACATATTAGCAGCCTTGTATGTATGTATGTAGCAGAAAAAGAATGTGTTTCGAGCAATTTAACAAAAATAAAATATACTTTGCAATAGAGTTAAACAGGGGTTACACTATTCCAGAAAAAATAAGACTTTGGCAGTATTATCCCAGTATTTTTCAGTGTAAAAATATAAACCGTGAAAGTAAAAAAGTTACACCTCTGAGAAATTAAAGAACATGTGTTGATTAAAGGCATCAGCTGTCTATGGAGCTAACAAAAAGATCCACAAGCATACAACAAGATTCGTAAGTGTACATCTCAATTCACAAACATTTATTCAGTGGTGTCATAAGTACACACATTTGTTACTTAAGTAGAAGTTCATATACTGCAGTTTAAAAACACTCTGGTAAAAGTTGAAGTATCAACTTGACCTCTTTACTCAAGTAATTGGGAAAGTATGTTCTCCAAAAAGTATCTAAAGTATAAAAGTATAAAGTGTCCAACCTTTCAGAAATTTTAACATCTTTTTCTGAATCCATCATTGTAGCATGGCATAGACAATTCACGTTTGCAGTTTGAAGAACACGTGCTTGCTTCAGAGGATTTTCTTTAGCTAATCAATGAATGTTTGCGTTATATGACTCATCCAATTACACTAGTTTTCACTAGATGTGGATGGAGCCAATGATCTGCAGTGGATGGCGCACATGACGTGAAATAAATATTTATAAATATTAAACCAGGGGTAACCAATTAAAAATAAGCAGGGTCTGAATAAAGAAAATCATCAACTGCAAAAGGTCAGGAGACATTTTTAATAATAATTTCTCACTTTAAACAGAATTTAACACTGAAATAAAATGGGGTGTTAACCCATCCATGTTATACATTGAAGTTTTAGATAAAAAAAAAAAAAAGAAACTTTTTTCATTTTAAAATCTAAAGTGTTTTTGAGGTAGAGAGCAACAATATTTTAGTTTGGTTTAGCTATAGACAATTTCCTGATTCCCATATTTTATAAAACACTTGAACTGACCGTTTTTTTTTTCTCCTTTCTTTCTGTTTTATGGCTTAATGAAAGCAGTGGGCTTTAGGATGTCCTGCAATGCTTTAAACCTGGGTTTGAATGGAGACAAAGCCATTCTCAAGCACATATCAATCCAGTATTCAATCCAGTTTCCAATTTATTTTATTTACATAGGACCATTTCACAACAACTCATCTCAATGCACTTTAAAGAGACTGTTCAATCAGACCATGCAATCAGACTGCTTCAAAGGTTTCTCTCTAAGGGAACACAATACACAACACGCTGCCATTTTATGAGTTTTCAGACCCGTGTGTTGTAAAGCTCATAAAATGGCCGCTCCTACCATCTGATCAAGGGGAAGTGATGGACTACAAGTGTAGGCACATATTGGGTCCTAAAACTCATACAATGGCCACACCTTCCATTTTGTCACAACTGAACTTAAAGTGGCTCACAATCCTCGAAGTTCACTTTCAACACACTACTTTCAGGACAAGAAGGATCAGGAAGACAAACTGAAGAAAAATAACCCAATTGCAGCCAGTCACACACACATACTCATTCATGCTATGATCCCAGAGGATCCTTTTAGATGAACCATAAGCTTTAAAATCAAGAATTTTCAATAAAACCGCAAGCAAAACCAACTAACTACACTTGCTGAAGCTAAGCACCTTAATTGAGCATCAGATGGGAATAAATGAAGAAGGTTTTAGTGTGTTGACACTGGATGGGAGGAGGCTGAAGCAACATCTGGTTCAGATCCGGTCAAGTAAACAACTAGTCCGTTTCCAGATCTCTTGGGGAGATTTGAATTAGTCTGTTGCAAACAAAAAGGGAATTTGATGGGCTTTAATTGATTTGATACCTTACAGTGTTCTCAGAGGGCATCTCTGCTGATGGTACCAGGCAGGTACCATCCAATGGCAGGATAGTTTTGGTTAACCAAGGCGAAAACTCAGTTTTCTCATCCTCTTCACATGGGGAAGGAATCGCAATGATACAGGATTGCAGGAAAGCGAGGCCTGCAGACAGGTGTCTAAGGACAAGGGGAGGGAGGGTAATCAACATAGAGGGGATTCTAAGGATTTGACGTCGAGATGTTTCATTTCAGGCTGGGATCCCTGGGGAAAAGGGGGCAGAATAATCACAGAAATAAGCTTGTATGATAATGAAAAAATTTAACCTTTTGATATATTTTTCTTTAAAACCAAATTAATAAGAATCCCGGAAAATATGCAGACTGCCTCTGCTTGAATCACATGTGCCCACTTCGTTCAAGTTACTAACTGATACCTGTAGCAACTACAGGTATCAGTCCCAGCTGCAGCCTTTCTAAATTTTATTCCCATTTTTGTCTTTCTCACCTAATCCTTACCCAATCCAAAAAAATGGTTTTAAATAGACATAACCTTACCTTAATGCAATGTCCTAACCCTGGGTCTCCATCCACCATACATCCCACCTCAAATATGATTTTAATTAATACATCACTTAACCATGACCACTTTTTCCTGCCCTAAAGTCTAAGTGTACTTGATTTCTCTTCATCCAAAGCCTTCATCCTAAATGTCTTTTCCCCAATAAAATACAGGTCTCAAACATTTCTTATATAATATTAATTGTTTACCCTGCCCGTACCAATTTCCATTAACTTACAGGAAGTGAGGTTTATCTCTGTTTATTGCCTGAGTCCAGATTAATAAACCTTTAAATGTTAAATAATAACCTTCCCTTTATCCCACCCCACTCACCCTATCAAATGAAACTTTATTGCCTTTTACATCAACCTATGTAATAAACTTTACAACAGTTCTTAACTAATATTTGAATTCAAACAGTGCTTTTCATGTTAAACATTATTCAATATAAACCTTTTGATGTCTATGGAAGAGTTGTTAGTGGAAAGTGTAAAAAGAACATCGGAACTTGATGTACCTAAGTATTCAATAACCTACTTACAGAAGCCAAATCCCTTCACAGAAGAGGTTGATGTATAAAAAAATACTTGCTATCATTTTGCATTCTTGGCAACTTGGCGAGAGAGTCCTTAACAAATGTGACTTTAAAAATTGTTTATATAAGAACTAGCATAAAAGATCTTGCTGTGTTTAAGACTTAGTACATTCTAAGTTTAAGAAATATTTAATAACCTTTTGATTTTTCAGATCAATCAGAAATTGAATAAGGATTTATTGTAGCCGTGCTTTTAACTCTAAAAGAAGAATATCTTTTCAGAAAGAACATTTCTCTTTAGCTTTGTACATTAAAGTATAAATAAATAATTGCATAAATTTACACAAAACAGATCTTTATATTCCTTGCAGAAAGTGAGGTGAACCAGTGGAACATTGAAGATGGCAAAGAAATACAACATTATGTCTATTTTGCTGATTATGTTACCATGGCTTCTCCTCATCAGTGTTTGGCAACAGAGCAATATCACATCTGTCATTTTTTCTCAAAAAGGTAAATATCAATGTTTGGTTGATGCTTTTCAAGAATACATTTTTCAAAATATATTATACTTACATTATAGGGTTGGTTGGTTCTATAGCTGCCAGTTGAATGTATTGGTAATATCAGCTATTCCTCACAACCATAAAACACTTTGACACTTGGTTTGATGGAAAACAAAGCTGACAGGCTTCTCCAGCATCTAAATCTCATTGCTTTTGGGCCCCTTTGTGTCACAATTTGGTTGAGGTTAGAGGACCCAAATCCAGAGGCTGAGAGGCAGGGGTGAGTTCTTGCAGCTTCTTTAATGATTAAACACAGGTAACAGAGGCAGAAATCCAAAAATCCAAATTAAAAATATAAAACAAACCAGAAGCATGGAGACATCAGGGGAAAACAATCACAAGGAGCCAGGGTAAGATGAGGTGAGAAGAGGTAAGGTGAAGTAAAATGGGAACCAGCACTGAGGAACTGCACAAGGAGTGTATTTATGTGAGACTGAACAAAGAGAGGACTAACGAGCAGATTAGGAGCAGGTGTGAACAGAGCAGAAAAGGATGAAGCTAGGGAAAGGAGACCAACACAAGAGGGCAACAGAGGGACACAAATAAAAATCTTAGAACTCAAATATATCCAGAAAATACAACAAAATATGAACCAAACCAACAAAACTAGAAAACATGGAGCAAAGTAAAACATAACAGAATCAAGACCTTGAAAATTTGTCCTGTGAGTCAAGGTGTGGGAAGGAGATAAAAGGTAGATGTGGAGCCAGCTGTGGAAATTATATTGACCCGAAGACTTTTTAGTCTGGTAAGCTAGCGGTTTATCTGACAAACAGGCTAAAGGGCTGGTTATACTCCCACAGCAGTGTGTCGCAGTGAGCTTGTTGCAGGTATGATGCAGATATTTTATGATTTATGCCCAATTTTGAAGCGTGGTCTGCGCTAGGTTATTCCATGCCACAGTGCATGAGGGACAATCAGGGAGTAGCTGTGGGTCTACATACGGCCAAGACCAAGGGTGCTGTACGGAGGAAAAGTTAAAAAGATTCTCAAGGCCCTTGACTGAGGCCCCAAAAGAAGAAGACAAGATCTGTCCTGCTATATTTTTCAAACATAAAAAGAAAATTCAGCAGTGAAATAAATAATTTTGTATTCTCCATTATTTTAAAGTAGTAAACAGCGTAACAAATTATGATATATTAACCAAAACCCCCTGTCCTGCAGTTCAGAGTTTGACTGGGACCAGAAGCATGACCAGTTGGTCACACACAGGAGCAGACAGGATCAGGTGCAGATGAGCAGGCTCAGTGGAAGAGGGTAGCCAAGACGGGACGTGGAACCAGAACTTGATGCAGGACTTTAAACTGGTCTCCTCCCTGGAGCCAGGCTTACTGGAATAAAAACTGAACCTCCCCACATATAGAGCCAAAAACCCAGAGGGCTCCGCGGGGGAGGAACAGTGGATGATTAGGAGATAAGACAAACACTAAAACCCTCTTTCCACTGGCTGCCAGGATCCAGGGCATGAACCAAGGATAAAAAACAACAGACAGGGTAACAGAAAGACAAATAATGATCTGGACCTGAATGCTCAGGCTGGACTGAATATAACCAGCAGGAAACAGGTGAGAGGAATAAATTTTAATTGAGGCAGGGAGGGAAAACAACAGGTGAAAGGAATGACTAATTAAGGGAGAACAAACAGGCCAGATCATGACAGACAGGGGGTCGGCAACATAAATCTGTCTTGATGACAGGGTGCGAAAATCGGCTTAGCAGGCAGGGGAGAGACAGGTAAATTTATGTTGGCAGATACTAAGTCATCAACTATGCCTCTATCTCCAAAACAAACGTCTGTTACTAGAGCTTAGATCTCAGACTTTATCCTTATTGGAGCCTCCTCTTAAACACATAGTTTTACAGCTTGTGGTGGAAAAAAAAAAATCTATTAGTATTAAGTTTATAAATGTTTCAGCCATGCCAACTGAAAATTTCAAACAAACACGTCTCAGAAACATTAAATTCAATTCAGTTTATTATATTAAACATCAGTTCGTAATCTCCCGCTGACCCCTGGAAACATTAAGTCAGAAGTCCTCTGTCCTTTATCTATTTGGGTTGAGGCCAGGAATTAATTCCAGGTTGATCAGACACTAGATGCCTGATTCGCCGCACGTTATATGGTCCCGGTCAGCCTCCAGAAAGCACTGGTGATCAGTAGCCACACCTACTCGGGTAGAGGGGCCAACCACCTCCACCCCAAACACCTGTACTAGCTCCACATCTGCCCCTTCTCTCCATCCAACGGTTCAAGTCACACTGCAAATGGGCTCAAAATCATAAGCATAGTTTCTAATGTTAATGTGTAATTAATGTGTTTCTAACAAATTAATTAGTTTTTTATTAAATAATGTTACGTGTGATTGCAATGCTATGTGTTTAGTTTCGTTTTTTTGTCTTATTCATTAAAACACCAAAATTCGTAACTTTAAAGTATATCATTTTTAAAAGTTTAGATCAGATTTTGTGATAATGAATAGCAATTGGATCAGTTTCTCAGTTCATCTGAGCATCTAAACAACACATTTTCACATTACTCACTACAAAGCCAAGCTAAGCTTTAGCTAAGTCTCTTTTTGCTCCTTACCCTGTGTGGTTACTATCAGAGCCTTAAAGAAATCTTCTCTTTATAACTGGTATTTCAGTAATGGCTCGCAAAGACTATGTTTACCGACGGCCCCCGCCCTGGTCCAAAACCCTTCCTACTCTCCACATCATCACTCCCACTTACAGCCGCACAGTGCAGAAGGCTGACCTGACTCGTCTGGCCAACACTCTGCTTCATGTCCCCAACCTGCACTGGATCGTGGTGGAGGACTCCAAGAATAGGACTGTTCTAGTTAGCCGCTTCCTTCAGGAAACAGGGCTTAAATACACACACCTCAATGTAGAGACCCCTTCAAACTTTAAACCCAAAGGGGAGACTACAAGTCGCAAAATACCACGTGGTACGTTGCAGAGGAACCTGGCCCTGCAGTGGCTTAGAGAGACCTATCCTGTAAACTTCAGCCAGCCTGGAGTCGTTTACTTTGCTGATGATGACAACACATACAGTCTGCAACTGTTTGAAGAGGTGAGGTGATACATCTTTAAAAGTAAAACTCTGTTAATTTTGTTCTCTGGGCTCCCTGTTATATGTTTTAATGAAATGCCTGCTTTTAAGATTGAAGCGATAGTTCCTGTAAATTTCTGGGAGTAATACGTATTTCTCTGCTTTTATCTGACAGATGAGGTACACGAAAAAGGTGTCTGTGTGGCCCGTGGCATTAGTGGGGGGTATACGATACGAAACACCCAAAATAAATGCCCTAGGCAAGGTGTATGGTTTTAAAACTAAATTTGACCCAACCCGACCTTTTGCCATAGATATGGCTGGGTTTGCAGTGAACCTTAGCCTGATTCTGTCCAAACCTCAGGCTAACTTCCAGTTGCAAGGGGTGAAAGGAGGATATCAGGAGAGCAGCTTACTGAAGGAACTGGTGACTCTCAGTGAATTGGAGCCTAAAGCTTCAAACTGCACTAAGGTAAGAAAAGTGATCTAAATGCTAACGATGAATTTTACAGATCCTTCTACAGCTTATAACAATCTCCGTTGGTTGGCCACAACCATTTTGTCTGTTTGTATCTGAAAGTCCTGCAGGATCTTAGCTCTATCATTCTCCACTACCTTGGGAGGTGGTTCCCATTCTGACGTGGTTGGTCTCCAGTTTTGTTCTTTATCGATGTTTCTGTTTACTCTACCAGCCACTTGATTATGACATTCCATGTTTTCCTTTAGTGCCAGTATCTAACACCCTGCTTTAAGATGCTGAATTGTTTCTTGGGCCTCTTTGCATAGCCTGCACCTGGGATCTTGCCTGGTAATGTAGATCTGAGCCTCTGTTGCTTTTGTGCTGAAGGTCTACTGTGCCATGATCAGAGCTACTGTGCTGTTTTAGGCCTAGACTTCTCTAGCCCTTGGTAGGATTTGGTCATATGATATTCAAAGGTACTTGTGGCTTTCTTCACATCTGCTATTCTCCTATATGGGAGTGCAATTCTCTCTATGTGGATTACCCTCCCTCCCGTTGTCACCATCCAGCCACATGTTTACAGCTTGAATGAGATTCCGATGTCCCTGCTATACAGACTCGGACTGGTAATCTGTGATTCCGGGCCCGGTGGGCCAGTCCTAATTTCAGCGTATTCTTACTCTCTGGCCGAAGCATCTAGCTGTTACAGTAGTAATAGTAGTAGTAAGTAATACAATATTAAATGCCTTAATGAAGCAGGCAGTATATATAGCCCTTTCTTGTCATGCACATCCTTGTGATGGTTGGCATATGGTGTAATTTTCTATTTCTTCAAACTGTAAAATCCTTGTAGCAAACTTAAGTATAATAAAACTAAAATTCTTTCTTTAAACCAAACTACAATGTTCCTCTTATATTTGGCTAATTATTTTGCGGTGCATGATGGGGTTTTACATTTAAAGGCTAACGTTTCCCTTTGTACTTGTATTGTTCCCGGGTTGGGATGTTTCCCAATCTGGCAGTTTAGGATGGCTGTCTATTGGTAAAACAATTTTTCTTTAGATTTATGGCCTAAGAGATCAATAGAATTTGGTCCAAATTGGGCAAGGTTTTGTATATCCAGGTGGTTTATGAAATATTTTTGGGCTGGAAAATGTGAGTCAGTGACATATGGCAGCCCTGTGTGAAGTGAGGACGTTACACAGCAGCAGTCACTGTCGTGTCCGTGCTAGTAATCAAAGCCAGTAAAACCTCATTATAGAAGCCTTGGTGATGGTTGTCGAGTGATGCTTGAAGATAGATGGGTTTATCCACAATGTGCTTTCGTGTTGTGCTTCTATTTTTTTTTTTTTTTTCTCGGAGGGGGTTCAGGCCACAAGTGGGCCGATGTAGATGGAAAAATGCCCGGGCCAAAAGTCGTTCCCAGTCCAAGCCTTAATGCTATAGATCCTGGTTGTGTGCATCAGTTACTGTCTCATCTGATTTTAGAATATTTTTTCAATGACTCAAAAAGTCAGATTCCTTCTGAGTACTCTCTGGGAGACATGAAGTAGCATATTGCCATTTTCACTGCTAAAGGCTCTGCATTTGTGTTTCATAATTTTGACAGGTTTTGTGCTTATCTATACCTTTCTGATTCCCTGCAGGTATTAGTATGGCACACACGGACTGAGAAGCCTTCACTGGTACGTGAGGGCAAGAAAGGATTTACAGACTTAAATGTGGAAATATGATGTATTTCATTCATGGGGGGTTCTAGACAGGGGCCAACGGCGGCCAGTGCCCCTGTAATGGCCCTTGTATTGAAGACATAATACTTAAAAGAAATTCCAATGATGATATGTGCTGGAAGGATACTTAGTTACTGATAGTACCTTTGGACCTATTTCATTTTTTGTTTTGTTTTTACAAATTCTATTTTACTACCGGTAATTATTTAAACACAATAAGGAAATAGCTTCGGTGGTTGAGATAGGATCCCAGTTTTCACCTGCAAAATGTTTTTTTTAAAACAATTTTGTTTTTAAATTGTCAAATTTTTAACGCTGAATTTTTCAGTTTTGTTTGAGTTCTAATTCTGATTTTGTAGAAAACAGTTATTTTAACTTAAATGAAAAGAAAAATATGTAAAAATACTATATCATGAATGTAGACATATAATTTTAATGAAACCTAATTGAATGGAAATTTCACTTCATGTTGTTTTCTTAATATATAATATTGAAATCAAGCTTTTATCTATGGCCTCTGATTGTTTTTTATGGTAGGGGTGATATACTCTATACTTATCAAAAACAGACAGATTGTGTGAATCTTCTTTAATTAATGTCAGAACTGAATAAAGTTATCATTCACAAAGTCACCTGTATGTCAAGTCCTTCAAAGTGACAAAGTGTGTAGCATCCTGTTTACTTTGACTATATGTTTTAACCATTCATATTAGAGGTTGTGGTCTTTCTTTTTTAAAGCTTTAATGTTCTGTCCCACCTGTTAAATCTTTGTGTTTAAAAGCATCCACCTTGTTAAGGTGAACACCACACAGTCTAGTTACCATTTTACTTCCCAGCCTCTGTATAAAAATATAAAAAGGTTTTTATCTTGGGGTCAATTCAGATGCACAAATGCATGTGCTCACACAAAAATAACAGTTTTATGTTCAAAGAAATTCATGGTGTTGCTGTAGTTGTTACTAGAAATAACAAATGTACAGTATGTGGATAAGTGCCCTGATCTGGCTTTAATAATCGTAACATGATTAATGTGGACACTTCACATTTGTTTCTTCTGTCGCATGATTTGACTGATTTAACTCTTTAAAGTGCCTTAAATGACATGTGCTATAAATAAAGTAATCTGAAATATACGGGATTTGTCATATTTGTTCAACTTTCTATCTCTGAAGAGTAGTTATCCTGTTGTGGATGCTGGTTCCTAATAATATGTGTCAAAAGAAATTATTAGCAACCAGCAAAAAAAAAAAAAAAAAAAAAACAAACACTTAAAACGTAAATGCAGTGCCCCCAGAAAGTATTTACAGCTATGCGCTTGTTAAAATTTAGATATATTATTCCTACCTTTTTAAAAGAACCGTTAAAATATTCTTTATCCTCAAAATCCTACACACAATATCCCAATAATGCAATGTTATACTTTTCCATAGCTTTCGCTGTAGGTATGCTGTGATAAACTAAAGCCGCTGGAAGACATAGGGAACACTTGTCATCATTCTGATTAATTAATCTCTATTAATCTCTATTAAACAATTCTGCAGTAATTGTTAAATTAACCCCCAACTCTGTGTACTGTTCCACTCATGGTGGTTGCACCTCAGAGCTTTCTTTCCCAGTTCTTTGCCTGGAGGCTACCATTTTTTTTACCTCACTTCAAATAACTTTTCAAAGAAGAAAAAAAAAAGGGAAGCAAAAAAGCTGAACTTGAGGTTTAATAACAAATTGAATCTTATCCAGATGGAAAAGATTATTCAGATTACAGAACTTGGCTCCTGTTACTGTTATAGAGAATAAGGAATATAGAATGAGACTTGAATAACGTTAAAAGCAGCTTCTTACAGATCAGCAGGGACACACCCTGTGAGAGCATAAAATGCACACATTGTTTGTAGGATATATTAATCATAAGCTAGGCATGTTTTTTAGTCCTTAGTCCTGTTTCTCTCCTGTTTCTTTTTTTAATTTTTTTCACTGTGACTAATTTTATGTTCTCTTGTTCAACCCTTTTGTATCAAAACTTGCTCAGAGCTCAACTGGTTAACAGTTTCTTCCCTATAAAAAGGGAGTTACTCCTCTGCACTGTCACTACACGCATACATGATGTGAGGGATTGCTGTAGAGCCAATGACAAGGGGTAAACGTAAATCTATTGTCAGCACAAGTTTATCCAAAAAGAGCGAGTCCTGCAAAGACGATGGCCCAATGCAATCAGCTGGTTTTCCTTGGAAGAACCTTTAAACCAATCTGACTGAAGGATGTAATGTAAATTGGTGCTATACGTATAAATGAACAGAACAAACAACTGACTTTTTAAGAATCTTTATTTAAAGAAAAACTGCAGCAGGTCGTAGGGTTATCTTCAGCGTGTCTGGCAGAAACCTCTGGAAGCACAGCAACAGCTGAGGGACCAAACCAACTGTAGTAGATAGAATAGTAATGGTCACTGACCTTCTCACAGTCTGAGGTTGGGTGGGAACAGTGAGTGCTGGCTCCAGCTGGTTGACAGGCACACCAACAATCCCCGCTCTGATCAGGGGAACCTTTAGATGGTCTCCAGCTCGTACTCGGAGGTCAGGAGACAGACAGGGGATCAGAACAGTGATGACTGAACAACGATTACTGGTTAGAGGTCCAGGAGGAATTTCCAAAATCCATAGTCAAGATTAGGTCCACGATTAGAGCTGGATGATCCAAAGTCCAGAGAGAACCCAGAGGGAAATCCTTTGCATAGTCAGGGTCCGGTTTACAGATCAGACAGGGATCAGGCTGGCTCAGATAATCGGGAGAGAGAACAGGTCAAGCAAACTAGCAGGCAAGACTCAAGTATAAAGACTCAAGTATAAAGAGACAGTACAGGTCAGGCAAAATAGGCAGCCGGAAGTCAGGAACAGACCGCAGGAATAAATCTCACCAATGGCTCGAAATAATGTGCCACTGATTGCTTGTCTGAATGCTGCTTATATACTTATAGGTGCAGGTGTATAAGATCAGTGGTAATGAAAATGAGGCTGAGCTCAGCAGGTGTGTCTTGTGAGGAATAAACCTGCATCAGCACCGAGATCATGACAGAAGGACATGAGGGTATGTCTGGGATGTACAGACAGTTCTTCGAGCAGCTCTCAGGGACATGTTTTTTACTTTCCTAACCTCCCTCCCTCTCCAGGTCGAGCAAGGTGATGGAAGATATCACAGATTCTGGACGAATTAAGTCCACAGCACCACTGAAACTCTCCTCTCCCACTTCGAACATCGGAGACAGGGTGTCAGACTTCATGTTCTTAGCTCCGTAATATAAGGTGAAGTTGAATCTTCCAAAGATTAGTGCCTACCTGGGCTAACTTTGACAGAATTATTTTTTATTTTTATTTTGTCATTTTGTGTACACGAATTTAAACATAAAGAAATTTCATTAAGAACAGCTCTGCAGACAATTTAATTTTTTTAAAAGCTTTGAAAAAAGGAAAAAAAAAATACATAAAACAGTAATATAAATGATATATTTACAGTTCTAACATTTCAGTTTTTTTTTAAATAATGAAATAAGATAAATATAATAAAATACAATAAAATAACCCATTTTACAAAACAGTCAGCAGTCTAATGGCAGTGAGGAAGAAACTGTAGGAATCTGCTGGACCTGCATCAGATGCTTCCAAGTCTGTTTCCAGAAGGCAGCAGGGAAAACAATCCATGGTGGGGGTGTGAGGGGTCATTTTTGATATTACGGGCTTGGGACATGCAGCACTGAGATGAAATATCTTCAATTGAGGGAAGAGGAGCCCAGATGATCTTCTCTGCTGTTCTCACCACTCTTCTCACCTTCTTCCAGTCTGAGGCGCTGCAGCCTCCACACCACACAGTGAGACAGCTGGTCAGAACGCTCTCTATGGTGCTTCTGTAGAAGGTGGAAAAGATGGGTGGGGGCAGGTGGGCTCTCTTCATCGTCCCCAAGAAGTACATGCGCTTTTCTGCCCTTTTGACCGGTGAAGTGTTGTTTACATTCCAGTTGAGGGTGTCTGTGATGTGCATCCCCAGGAATTTGGTGCTGTTGACCAGTTAGGTCGGATTTTTCTCAAGTCCAAGGCTGTTATCTTTGCACCAGTCCACCAGCTGCTCCACCTTCTCTCTGTAGTCCAGGTCGTTGTCATCTCTGATGAGGCCCACCACCGTGGTGTCGTCTGCAAACTTCACGATGTGATTGGTGGTGAACCTGGGGATGCAGTCATGTCTCATCAGGGTGAACAGCAGGGGGCTCAGGATGCAGCCCTTAGGGGAGCCTGTGCTTAGGATGATGACATCAGAGGTGTTCTGTCGGACCTGGACTGACTGAGGTCTGTTGGTGAGGAAGTCGAGCAGCCAATGGCAGAGTGGCCTATTGAAACCCAGCTGTTTCAGTTTTCCCATCAGATGCTGTGGGATGATGGTGTTGAAAGCTGAACTGAAGTCCAGGAACAGCATCCGCAAATGGGTGTTCTTCTCCTCCAGATGTGCCAGGCTCAGGTGGGGAGCAGATGAGATGGCGTCCTCAGTGGAGCGGATGCGTCGGTAGGCGAACTGGAATGGGTCGAATGTTGAGTGGAGTGAGTGCGACAGGCCGGTAATGATTGAATGAGGTGACCTGAGGCTGCCTGGTGGCAGACTTGAAGCATGCTGCCACTACGGATTGGTCCAGTGAGGTGTTAAAAATGTAAAAAATAAAAGGTTATCAGGCCCTGGGGCCTTCCTTGGGTTGACTCTCCTCAGAGTTTTCCTCACTTCAGCTACGTCCAGGTTTAGTGTCTCCTCCCCCTGGTGTGGAACGGCTTTTACTGCCGGATTGCTGTTTAGTGCCTCAAAGAGTTTATTTAGGAAGTCAGTGTTTGTTGCATATACCGGGGTGGGGTGGGTGTGTTGTAGTTTTTGATCATCCTCCTGGTGTTGCTGTCATCTTGGAAAAGATCTGGCTGTGGTTCTGCTTCGCTGATCTGATGACATGTTTTAAGTTTGCATGCGCTGTTCTCAGTGCCTCCTTATTACCAGACTTGAAAGCTGGGTTCCGTGCTTTTAGTGATTCCCGGACCTCTCCATTTATCCAGGGTGGTTGGTTGGCCCGGGTGGTGGTGTTCTATTTTATGCTGACGTCCTCAATGCATTTGCTAATGTAGGTTGACA